GTCCACCAGGCCACGTTCACCGGCAGTCCAGAAGAAGTCCGGTTTCTGAATGATGGAATAATAAAGAGGGAAGCAAACTCACAGGAAGACGAACACCTATCAAATCACGTTAGATGTAGAACATATATGACCCTTAGACCGTGCAACCTTTGCCTGAAGCAACNGCAACTATGGGTAATTCCTCACATACAAGGGTTCAGTGTGTAGTATTCAGTTCCTTCAACTGTTTCGTTCTGCCGGATCACAGAAATGCGCAATTCACAAGCATAGCTGCATAATTATCCTAAAGGTTTTGTGATTGTGAATAACGAACTGGTTTGGACGAACTAATAAGTGCGTTATACCGTCACGAAAGATACTCCCATTTGCTTAAGATGTTTCAACAAGAATACTCACTAGGTAAGACATAGAGCTTGATTTGCTTCCTTGCGATTGACCGTAGGTCACTGCTTGACGGGAATGATTTCAAACGAAATGAATGCCCTTGCGCATCTTACGCCGAGCTCGTAATGTGCGAATGGTTGTCATTGACCAATGGAGAGAAGGCATGCTATTAGATCTGAAATTGAGGCAAACTTGGAGCAGGATGATGATTCCAAGTTCATATCTCTTTTGCTCTGGACTTACCATCCATTCGAAGCGAATGGTAGCAAATTGTGTATTTACAAAAGGGACACAGATCAGTGCAACTACCGAGTGGTTCAGTGAGTTTTATGCTTGCGTTCTACCTGTGAGGAACCGAGTTCGATCCTCATTTAGGTGAATGAGACTAGCTAAAGAATGCTTCCTGACTTTTCAATTCACGTTCTGCTTTCACGGTAAAGTTTACCAACTGATTGAATTGAATCCTCTGGCTAAATAGTTGATAGATTTCAAGCAGGCTATTGGAGTGAAATTCAACCTTAAAGCATCACCTGAAAGAGGTTTGCGATCATGACGAAATGCAAGGGTTTATTTCTCATTAATATAGAAATATTTATTCCTTACTCAAATGGTCAAATATGAACAGTTTATTTGACGTCTTTTTTGTTCGGACCTCGGATTATTACATCGTAGATTTGAACAAAAAATAGGGTAAGCAATGAATTTTCCTTTGGGGCTTTCGAACAATACATATGTTCAAATTACGCTAACAAGACCGGTATTGGGTGTATAGCAAACCGATTTCGACCGTTTGTTTGGTACAGCTCTTTTTCCCAACTGCAATTCCGATAGAAAAATTATGGGTGACTTCTATTGAAATGCGAGAGTAGAAACTATTTGAAAACTATACCCTTCTCACCCTTCACGTATGTATGTAGGTAATGTGGAAAAAAGACAGTTCAGAAATTACTGATGAAACAACCGAAAATATTGAACTACATCTATAGTTTTCACTGAATGCAACATCAGGTTCATTTGGAACTGTACCACGTGAATATCACTGTTCTCGCTAGACGACAGATAAAGATGGCGGTAGAAAAGTAAATGCTAAAACAAATTATCATCTGATGCTATATTTTTTCACCAATTCACATTACACTCATACTCTACATTCAATCATAAGATGATGATGATGATGATTCAATTGCCTACCGTAGTCACATTCAAAATACCGGCCAGGTCGACCACGTGACCGGGATCTGAATGTACACCATTGCCCAGGTGATGTGACACGTGATGTGTGGCATTCGGTGGAGTCAGATGATGTCCGTGTCCCATCATATGCAGATGTTGCGTAAAATTCTTGTGTCGTGCTTGCATGCTCAGCATGGCCCATGCCATGTTGCACCGAATACCGAATGTGATCATAAAGCCCAGACTGGACAACCATGCAGTGTAGTATCGTTTCGAGCATCGACAACACGCGTAGTACAGACATCGCCCCTTGCACGTGTCATCCTGGTACGTTTTTTGCTCTTTCATGACCGGGGTCCCGTCCGCGTTGACCATCGGTTCTGCCGCTTCACCCATCTGACCGTAATTGGCATCGCTGGATTTTAATACTCCGGCTTGTTTGAGCAGTCTGTACGAGATGAAACGGTGTGGGCGAAAACGATTAGGGTGTGAATATTTGGAGGGGTACAGAAAAGAAACGGAGCGGGGGTAGAGATAGTGATTCAAGACACGGTTGTTTGTAATCTGAAAGAGGGACAGTGCGCGATTTTATTCCTTTGGAAGTTTGTAAAATAAAATAATGGATATCTTTTGTGTCTACACGCACACGTTGCTTTGAAGTTAGGCTGTTAAATGTGATCTTTCATTCAAAAAGAAACACTAGAACTTTGTCTGCTTTTTAAAAACATGACTGACACAAAGACAATAACATCGTACATCAAGACAGTTGAAAGTTGCAAGATATAAGAGGAACAAACACAGTTTGGTGAAACAGTTGTTTTTCAGTAATTCTTTCTCAAGCCGTTTACAGATTACATCATCCACGCTGGTTAAGACTAGAACAGACCGGAACAATAAACAGCTTCATCCTAGCGCATTTAGTCGACACCGGACATCAAGTAAATCCGGATGTCGCCTTCAGAGTTGTTTATTGTGCAAGGGTGTTCAACTGCGCACTCTAGCAATAGCCGAAGCGATCGGGATAAGAAAGTTGACCCTGACCTCTGCGCCCAAAAGCGTTTGG